CCAATTCCCTTGTGCCCCCGTGATGAACTTATAGGCAGCCACAAGGTCGCCTCTCAACCTTCTCTTGCGGAGGCTGAAGAGGTCCAGGTGCCCCAGTCTCTCCTCATAGGGCTTGGTCTGCAAGCCCTTAACCATACGAGTGGCCCTTCTCTGGACCCTCTCCAGGCTAGTGTCAAAGCCTGTCATAAAAATAACAGTTAAACAATTCCAGGTCTGCTGATGGTAGAATTTAACCTACAAAATTGTCATTTACGGTGCAAAGGAAATTGATTAGACATTTCCACGTATAGCATCTGGGGAGACCTAGGAACTGGTTTTAATAGAATACATTTCCTGCTGCCATTGTGTGTCTGTTATTCATATTTGAGAAGAAAAGAGTGGTAGGAGAAGTTTTTCACTATTAGCCCCAGGCAAATGGCTTCAATGACTCTATCCTAAAATGCTTACAAAGAACATCTGCAATAGCTTGACACGGAGTTAACATAACCTAGCAATCAAGCTTTGGTAAAATAGGTATTCTGACCACTTGGAACTCCTGCCCCAGTTAGAGGAGGCAGTCAAGCATGTGTTCAACAAATTTGTCTTCTATGAGCCAGATGCAAAAGGAATTTGAGAGTGCTAGTCACATTATAGCCTGAAGTTATGCACCATTATTTCTTATGCAACTCAAACTGCAACCTAAACATTCATTTATATGAATGTGAAGGCATATCAATACACTTCAGTGCATGTATCCCAGGCTTTATGTGAGAATGATCCTATGTATTCCAATGATTAAGCAGCATGCATAGTTAGAACCTCAATCATACCACTGGAACTCAATAACAAGTACGTCTTCTCCGTAAGCAGTTTCATTTGCTTTGGACTTGTCAAGCTCTGCTGGCAGACAGATGGAAAGCTACCAGACTACATACCTGTGCAGCTTCTGGCAGCTCTATTTCATCACCTTTGCTGGAAGGATATGAAGTGTGCCATGGGAAGACAGATGCTGAGGGGACAGGGGCAGCAATGGGCAGAAGGTACAGGCACATTTATACAACACTGCTACCTGCAGGAGCTGCCTTCTGCTTGTAAAGGTCATAGAATCATAGAAGTAGGGTTGGAAGGGACCTTGTAGATCTTCTAGTCCGACCCCCTGCCTGGGCAGGAGGAAAACTGGGCTCAAATGACCCCAGCCAGGTAGGCATCAAGACTCTTCTTAAAGACCCCCAGGGTAGGAGCCAGCACCACTTCCCTTGGAAGTTGGTTCCAGATCCTAGCCGCCCTAACTGTGAAGTAGCTCTTACAGATGTCTAATCTAAACCTACTCTCCAACAACTTGTGGCCATTATTCCTTGTTATCCCAGGGGGCGCTGGGGGAAACAAGGTCTCCCCCAAACCCTTCTGGTCCCCCCTAGTGAGTTTATAGACGGTCACCAGGTCCCCCCTCAGCCTTCTCTTGTGAAGGCTGAACAGGTTCAGGTCCCATAGCCTCTCAGTGTAGGGTCTGCGCTGCTGTCCCCGGATCATGCGGGTGGCCCTCCTCTGGACCCTCTCAATGTTGTCCACATCCCTCTTGAAGTGGAGTGCCCAGAACTAGAAACAGTACTCCAGCTGTGGCCTGACCAGTGTCACGTAGAGGGGGAGGATCACCTCCTTGTCCCTACTTGAGCTGCACCTGTTGATGCACGATAAGGTCCGGTTAGCCCTGTCAACTGTGACCTCGCATTGTCGGCCCATATTCACCTTGGAGTCAATGATGACTCCAAGATCCCTTTCTGCCTCCGTGCTCTCAAGAAGGGAGTTTCCCATCTTATAAGTGTGCTGCTGGTTACTACTGCCCAAGTGCAGCACCCTGCACTTGTCCGTATTGAAACGCATCCTGTTTTTGTTAGCCCACCCCTGCAACCTATCCAGATCTTGCTGTAGTCTTTCCTTCCCTGCTAACGTGCCCACCTCACCCCAAATTTTGGTATCATCAGCAAATTTAAACAGGTTGCTTTTCACCCCGTTGTCCAAATCGCTGATAAAGAAATTGAACAGTGCAGGCCCAAGAACCGAGCCCTGGGGGACTCCACTGCCCATTTCCCCCTAGGTTGAATATGACCCGTCCACCACCACCCTCTGAGTACGACCCTTCAGCCAATTTGCAATCCATCTGACTGTATAGGCATCGATGCCACAGTCGCCTAGTTTTTTAATGAGGATGGGGTAGTCGACAGTGTCAAAGGCCTTGCTGAAGTCCAGAAAGACTACATCCACGGTGACACCTGCATCCAATGCTTTTGTGACCTGATCATAAAAGGCAATCGGGTTGGTCTGACATGACCTGCCCCTAATGAAACCGTGCTGGTTGCCCTTGAGCATCATCCCCAATGCCAGCCCATCACAGATGTGCTCCTTCATGATCTTCTCAAAGAGTTTCCCCAGGATTGAGGTAAGACTGATGGGCCTATAGTTGCCCGGGTCCTCCCTCCTCCCTTTTTTAAAGATGGGGACCACATCGGCTATCTTCCAATCATCTGGCACCTGGCCCGAGCACCATGAGTGCTCGTAAAGCCGTGCCAAGGGCCCTGCAATAACCCCTGCTAGGTCCCTCAACACCCTGGGGTGGACAGCATCTGGACCTGCTGATTTGAACACGTCCAGCCCCTCCAGATGATGTTACTCTGCCAGCAGAAAGCAGTTCTACTGTTCAACACAGATTTGAATTGATTAGATTTATATTCTACCCTGTCTGAAAGGCTCAGAAGGGTTATTATTTTAAATTGTTAAAAACATTAAATAACATGCCTGAAAGAGCAGGGGCCTTGAGCAAGATGGCATGTGCTGCAGCTCGCACTGGAATTACAGGACCTGAAAATGTCACAGCTGCCCAAACATTAGCAGTTACATTGGTGCACGTTTATACTGAACTGCCTGAGTTGGCATACCACAGAGAGATGCAAGGGAACAACAAAAGTTTCCCCAGGATGCATGGGCTTGGAAATCCAGGGGCCATGCTCGTGCCTCACCTACCCAATACATCTGTATCCAAGATTGGAAAAACCTGCCAATGCATGGAAAAAGGGCTGGAGAGAAAGCATGACATGGAATTAGGCAGGGCAGGACAAGGAGGAACAGGAAAAGCCCTACTCGATAGGACTATGGACTACAGGAACAAGCCAACCATACAGGGAACTGTCTCCATATACACCTGCCTTGGACTAGACAGGGCTGTTACTCAAAGGGGTCAGGAGAAAGCAAAAAGCAGGTAAACTGATTTGGTCAAAGGCAGCAAACAAAAGAATACAGAAATCATGAGACTGACTGGACACAGAAGAGGGGAATGGGAGTGGCTCACTATTGTATCAGTTCATCTTCAGCCAAGCCCTCAGAGTGAGGGCACATCCTATGGGTGCACAGAACTGGGACACTGTGTATAATGCTGCATACTGAAGAGCCAGAACCCTCTGCTCTCTGCACCTGTCTACTAGGCTGCAAGCTTGCCTCACTTTGACTCTGGCTTCCTCTACCCTGAATCTCATACAGCATAACAAAAAGTGGACATGCTTATTGTTTTACCAGGAGAGCCCGAGTAGTATAGCAGCCAGATCATATGGTTACTATAGTATACATGGCACAGGGGGTCCAGGCTTGGGCTGCGTGCAGTGCCCCTGAGTGCACCCCTCACCCCCATGCTGCCTGTAGGGATGGTGTAGTCCACACATTGCAAGCAGTACACACCATGCCATGCAAGCCTTGTGTGCTGAATACATATTAAGCCCTGTGCTAGGCTAGGCTGGGCTGAGCTTGGCACCACATGAACTGCATAAGGGGTTGGTACTGGTCCTGCCTACAGACCACCCCAGAGATCCTTATCCAGCCTATGGTACCAGATGGGCTTAAAACCCATTTTAATACAGCTGATTTCTGTAGAAAAAACAAACTCCTACGTGGCCATTTTCTCCCCCACTACCAAGGTAAGAAGGGGATGGGAAACAGATAGACTTGAAAAAAATAAAAGTGCAAATAAAATCAATATGGAGAAGTCTGTGAGGACCTTCCAGGAAAACATCATAAGACAACATGGTTGTAACTAGTTTTTTCACTACTTTCTTCAGTAAATTCAAGAACGTGGCTATGCTTTGCTGTCACTGATAGAGGAAATGAAAAAAGAAAAAAAAAAAAAAAAAAAAAAAAAAAAAAAAAAAAAAAAAAAAAAAAAAAAAAAAAAAAAAAAAAAAAAAAATCACACAGCGTGAATGAGGCTGCTTAAAGTTGCATCCATTCAGTAAGAATTAGTTTATGGACTTACACCTATGAAGGGGAGCCCAGGGGATGCTGGTTAGAATAAATGTTTAATAATAATTCAATTAACTGAAAATTAATCCATCAATTCTACATTAATCCATCATTTCTGTATATAAAGAAACTTTATTAAAAATATTCAGTCAAAAAAACTTTGGAAAAATTAAGCAGGTACCAAATAGTAATGCCAAATCAGAAAATAATTAAAAACAATTTAAAGTAATGTAAACATTTATCTGGTTAATGTGTACAATGGCAAGAATTATTATCCCTGAACAATAATACATTTGAAATATCAGGATAAACAACATTTATTTTGAATTTACATAGATATGAACATGGTATTGTGGTAGCTGTTAAAAGAAAGTGAAAATGTATGGCTGTGGAAATTCTCCCTTGTAAGATTTTGTGAGAATAAACATTTTACTTGAATCTAAAAAGTAAAATTAAGTTGACAGCTTGACTAACATTTACTTTACTAGCTTAATGCATAGTCTATATATCTATACAGTCTGTTTCCCTTATGCATATCAGTTTCATCCATATAGATATTTGCCAAGCATTACATGTATTGTGGATCTACCGCTAATAATGACTTCATAAATGGAGTTGTTTATGCATCCAGATAAACTGATTCAGCATCCTCTATTGAGACTCTTCTACACTTGTTGACAAAGTTTTAAAATGACTAGTTTTGGTGGTATTTTAGATTGGAGGCCAAAAAAGACTTACCAACAACTGCAAAAACTTAGTTTTTGGTGCCCAGTGCAGAGCAGAATCCCAATCACAGAGACTGGTGTTGAAGCTCCTTATGCTATGTATTATGAAAGGTAGAATAAAGCTGTTTTGCAGCTGTTGGCCACTTTTTAAACAATTGTAAACATCTTGTATATAACAGTGTAGTAATTAGAGCACTCATCTAGTAAACAGATTACGTCAGTTAAATTCCCTCTAATTTGAGGGGATTTATATCCAGACCTGCCACTTCCCAAAACCATATTCTAACCACTATATTGTATACCATTTTGGTCATGGGGCATATGCAGAAGCAAAGCCATGTATGGCTAGAGAGTTTTCAGATTGAGCAGAGAGGTACCTATTGAATTACAGGTTATTTCAAGGTTTGGCAGCTGCTAAAGCAGGCTCTCCCTCCTCCCCCCAACCCCCTTTACTTTTGGAGTGAGGCAGACTTTAGATGCCCAAGTCCTGCTTAAGGCACTTAAGTCTCTTGGTTTTGGATCTGGCCCAGAGCTCTTTACCCAAGACAGCCTGGTGACTAAACACTGTGCAGTTTTTCCATTAGAAAATACCGAAATGTTCTTCTCTATTATTAAGAGCAAAAAAAAGCTGGTGGCGAGGGGGCACAGCAACAAGAAGCTTTCATTTCCATACACAAAATGAACTAACTGGTAATGTTTAATATCAGAGTACAATATAGTTTTCCATTACTTATATCCAAAAAGCAAAGATCCCAGAATAAGTTGCATATGTTTTTTTTTAAATAAAGATGTTTTTCCAAGAAGCAGTATGCTAAGCTTTTATTGGGGAAATATGAATGCATATCAATTTTTAAACTAAACTTTCTGCTGCCACTTGCTTTTGTGTCAGTGCTGGCAGAAGCTGGTCATGGAGTCACTATATTTGGTCATGAAGAATTATGAGAGCATAGAATGATTTTCTGGTGACACTCACTCTTTTGAGCCAATTTATTCCAGTTATCAGTACATCAAACTTCAAACTACTCTGGAGGCCCCTCTCAGATCCAGGAACCTCAGCTATAGCTCATGATTTCATCAGAAATTAAAGTAGGCCCAGTAAATTATTAGGTAACAGTTTAGAACCTTTCTTTTAATGCATTTTAACATATGGAATATTGTAAGTTTATATTACTACTTCAGAATCAATGGTTTATCAGATTCCACATATCAATAATTTAGCAGATATACAGGAAGAGAAACAATACTGAAGTTCAGCCAAACTCACCTCCTTACATTTAAATGTTTAAAAGAGTTCAGAATTACCATTCATCACAAGATTACTTTTACAACTGAGTTATTAAGTACAATATTTAAAATTAAAGTAACAAATATTACCAATCATCCAATTTGTAAGAATGCACTACTACCTGCATATCAGTTCCCCCTGCAATATTCGGTTGCAAGGCAGCTAGGCATGGATGGATCAGGCATGAATTCTGAATTGATTCACATTTTGCAAATGCAGAATAGAATCTTAAAGAAGTTTGAAATAGAATGTTGCAAGTCAAAGTCCACAAAGAACCTACAGCTGTTAAAGTTGAACCAAGTTAGTTACTTCCTTGTAGAGGCAGACTTCTTGACACCTAGAAATTCAGAAAAAAAGAAAGAACTGATTTCAGCTTGCTGTTGTAAAGAGGAATAAAAATACTCAGCATTTTGTGTCATTAGAACTATAGATCTTGCAAGACAAGTGTGTTACTAAAAGGCGCATGGTGAAGACTGATGCGCTCCGTGTGAGGGTTTGCCATCTGTTTTAGAGTAGAACAGAATGAGTATATGCAAGCCTTCTGTGTTGCAGGGGTTTAGGCTGTAGCCGTGTTGGTCTAAGGACATAGGCAGACAAGGTTCCTTGGGTGAATTTGATATCTTTTATTAGACCAACCCAAATGGTTGGAGAATAGTTATTAAGCAAGCTTTCGGGTTCAAAAACCCTTCGTCAGGCTCAGGAAGCTGCAGCAGTTGGTGTGTGCTCTTCCTGGATGGAATGACAAGTAAACAAGCCAGGGGCTGGGCTGGGGAGTCAGTTGCCAGGCAGATTGTAATGTATCAAAAATCCAATGTCTATGTTTAGTCCCTCCAACCATTTGGGTTGGTCTAATAAAAGATATCAAATTCACCCAAGGAACCTTGTCTGCAAGCCTTCTACACTTTCTTGATAGTCAACCAACCAGCTCTTCTGAAAGGGAAGGTCTCCTTGGATAATCCAGATGCCTTATTTCATAGACATCAGGGCTGGAAGGGCCCTCGGAAGATCATCGAGTCCAGCCCCCCGCCCAAAGGGCAGGAAGTCAGCTGGGGTCATAGGATCCCAGCAAGATAAGCATCCAGTTTCATCTTGAAGGTGTTCAATGAAGGCGCTTGAACCACCTCCGGTGGCAGGCTGTTCTAGACCTTGGGGGCTCGGACAGTAAAGAAGTTCTTCCTTATGTCCAGCCTGAAACGATCTTGAAGTAGTTTGTGACCATTCGACCTCATCATCCCTTGGGGCGCTCTGGTGAACAAACGTTCCCCCAGATGCTGGTGGTCACCCCTGATAAACTTGTAGGTGGCCATCAGATCACCCCTGAGCCTGCGCTTTTTCAGGCTAAAGAGCCCCAGGGCTCTCAGCCTGGCATCGTAGGGTCTGCTTCCCTGACCTCTGATCATGCGCGTGGCTCTTCTCTGGACTCTCTCAAGCTTCTCCACACCCTTTTTGAATTGTGGAGCCCAAAACTTAAGCACAAGGCAGTTAATAAGATAACTTCTTTAGTTATTTATTTTCACAGGATCACAACTTTGGGTAGTAGATTCTGGCAGCCAGGTAAGAGAACAGAATAACTACTGGAAGTGGATTTCTCAAATCTGTCAGTGGGAAGCTTCTGGTTGAAAGCTGTTTCAACTATGGAAAGAGGGCTGGCTGCCTTATAGGAAAAAATCTGAGACTTCTTATGATGCTGGGCAGTTTCTGAGAAAACAGAATGCAGGCCAGGAAATGAGTTGGTTTAAAAGGCAAGATGAGGTCAAGGAATGGAATGCTCTGCGTACAACCAAAGGGGAAAGAGACAACAATAATGGGTAGTAATGGTTGTTTCCTTTTTCCCCTGTTCCAGGACACGCTGCCTTCATCATTAATCCTGGTCTAGAGTACTTGGCAATCATTTGGTCAAGATTCCCCAAGACCCATGCCCATCCTCAATGGTCCCTACTATTCACAGTCCAGAACACCATTTTGGTGGAGGATGAAAAGACAAAACTCCTGCCCCCCCAAGTAGCAGAAAATGCATAATTATCTTGTCTTACATAAAATGTCAATATTCCATAAGTTTGTGGGAAAGAGGAAGAAACAAAGTTTCTCATCATTAGATATGAGATACCAGATTGGAAGTTTGAGAGAAAACAAGTACTGCAATACTCTGGGCAATTAGTCCTTCAATGCCATATTTAGGGTTCACTGGTCAGAGTAACTTTTGGTTCACATTTTTCTCCAAAGATACTCACGTACTTAGCGTTTTAAACAAGATTACTTGTTTTCTCCATACCTGTCAAAACTACATTAAATTTGCAGTGCCATTTTAGTGCCATATTTTAAATGTAATTCAGAGGCTGATAACACACCTACCTTGCTGCATTATTTTACAGAGGATGCTTTGTTATTCCTGCTTCAAGTCCCAAATTCTTCCACTAAACTTCACACCCTTTCATGCAGCTCCTCTTTTACCCAGGCTAGAAAAACAGCATCCACTCACCTGCCTTCCACTCCTACTCATTCAGTGACCAGTCTCCTTGCCTAGCCACTTACTCCTCTCCCAGTCTGTTACTTTTATTTTTTCCCATACTATGCTAAGCACAAGAAACAACGTCCCAGGATCCAACATATGCACACCAACAATATCAGCATACCTGCTATTAATTTCAACCCTGGCTCAACTGTATTTTTTCTCTCCTGAAATTTGTGTGAAGGAAAGAAGAAATTATAGCATGAACTGCATTTTCCAAAAGGATTTAAAACCAAGATCTATTTCTTTTTCATCCTTATTACAGCATAAGGCATTTGACAAATAAAACAATTCCTATAATTCACAATACAGGTTTATAGGTGCACACAAATATTAGAAAGAGTCTGTTACCTTAATGGACCTAACCCAGGAGTGATATAAGCATCACAACTCCCATAAATTGAGTGAACAGCAACACAGGGGTGAGAAATGACCAAACGGGCCATAATGCAATGTTGAAACTGTTAACAAGAACAAGAAACTTCAGTTTTGTTTCCATAGTCCGATATTGTTATATCAATAAAATTTAAAAATGACTCAAATAAAAGCCTTACTAAAATAAATATTTTTCTCTATACAATGAAATAATCTTTGTTACCTGAAGGACAACTATAAAAAGTCATCTTATTAATTACACATCAGTAAACTAAAGCAGATAGACCAAAAAAATCACCTCCAATAAAACATTTAACTACTACTTTATATAACAAATACATTGAATCTATGGTGTCAAAGCATAGCATCCTCTCCTTAATTCAGTGATTCTCAACTAAGGTGTTGCAGCTCCCTGCCCAGTTGCTTTCCTCCTGCCTCCTTCCCTTACCAAAAGATAAGCAAAAGCTCATCCCTGCCCAGCTACTCCTCCTCCTGCCACCCCTGTCTCTGCCTGGCCCCTTTACAAGGAGATACGCACTGTAATAAGTAAGTTTTTAAAATGAGATGCTGCTCAATTTTACAAGACAGAGGCATGCCTGGAGTCTAAAAAGGTAAATAACCACTGCCCCACACCACATCAGCTGGAAACAGAGATGCACAGGGCAGTTTTCCCTAGCCATGGCAGCACTAGCAGGCACCAGCACCACAGCACCTCTGAAAGGATCTCTAGGGTACTGCAGCACCCTGGTTGAGAACCACTGCTGTACAAGATGGTATTACTAAAAAAAGCATGGTGGCAGAAAAAAAAGCATGGTGGAGGTGGCAGAATCTAAACTCATGAATATTAAAAAAGTGAGCTCTGTAGGACTATATTAATAATGTGATCCACATTAGAAGATGCACAAAAACACGGAGTGATTTTTTAAATTAAATATCCATTAGGTACTAAATTTGAGAGCCTGGAGCATTGATAAAAATCTATTTAGGTCTTGAATTTTTTTTCGTCTTTCTGCAAAATCATAACTTACCAAATTGCTGCTGCAATAAAAGTTGCAGTTGTGACAGGTATCAATACTGGATATTTGGCATCATAGTCTTCAATTCCACAGTACCATTCAAGATATAATATGCAGTAAAAGGCAAGAGATAAACTTGCAGCCAACAAACAGCTACCAATGACAAATGACCAACTGCAAATAAATAAATATAAATTAGATCCAACCAAACGTCAATCTACAGCTCTTTACTAATTCAATCAAAATGACAGTACAATAAAAACCCCATTTTTTCATAAAGGGCTGGCTTACAGCTCACTTATTTCCCAGCAAGTTGCTGATTTAAGAACAAGTTGCTTGAGTGGCTACTGTGTCTTAACTTCAAAGGGTGTCACTTCACTCAGATGGAACACAGCTACAGGGGGCATCCTTTGACAAAATGGCTGCAGCAAACACCTGGAACAACTCATCAGTCCTGGGCAGCTATTTGCTGAAGCTTTTTTACATAAAGGAAATTACTGAGATGTGGCTTTAAATGTTATTGTGAAAGGGAAAACATTCTGAATTAAAAAAAATAAAATTATATATATGTTCTTACTTGGTAGGATAACTGTTACATATCCGCAAGATTAAGGAAAACTAGGTAAGAATTTATGATTAAAAAAAATTAAGTGACTTAAAATCTTCCTTGCACATTACATTTCTTTAGATTAGCTTTATATTAAAAACTCCAATCTTTGTTTTAAGACAAGTTAAAAAAATGTAGCCACTGGTTCTTGTAAACAATAACGGGTTTTTTTAAATAAAACTTTTATATGCAAAATAAAGAAGTTAGTACAGTAATAAAGCTTGTTCAATAATCTCTGCCTATGTATATCTATTTTTAAAGAAAGCAGCTTTCCAGATTTCTTCACTGTGACAGAGTCCAAAGAACTGATAACCTAGACATGAAATCATAGAATAGGGCAGAAAAATAACTTCAACAGATCACTTAATCTGTTACTGCTGCCCACCTTGTTATTCTCCCTTGTTTAATTTCAGACATCCAAAAATTTAATAATGAAATAACCCTAACAGCATAGTACTTCAGCCAAACTCAAGCTTCTCTTCCAGTTTAATCTCAATAGTGCAAACATATAGGAACATGCTTAACTGATGAGAGTATTTCCACTGAAGTCAATTGGATTACCCCAACCATTGTAAAGTTTGGCTTCAGCACTTGCGGGAGGCCCTGGCGAACACTTACATATTGGAGATTTTTGTCTGTGAAACCAATGGAAGTTTTGAGTCAATAAATGCAACTCAATACCTACAAACACATCTATTCTGTAAAACAGTAGCAACATGAAAAGCCATGAAAATATATATTTTTAAATTTGTTGGATTATACCAAGTCCAGGTATTATTCTTCAGTGTTTACATGCAATTCCTTTTTTGTTGATCTTAAAACCAGAAGCCAAAAAGCCGAAGGTGGAATCTATTCAATCATTGCAGGTTTCTTCAAGCTGCATGTACTAAAGCAATAACAAATTGAACGGATGTTTAGTTTTCATTTTGGAAAGGCAAGTGGAGGCCTGCACTGACCCAGACCAGAAAGTTGGGGGTGCTAGAACACACCTCCCAGCCTGCCCCTGCGGGGGTAAAAGAGCACTCCTCCCCCATACATGACCAGGCAGGTGCGAGTCACTGACACGCAGGGGAGAACAAAGCTCCCCATCCCAGTCTCAGCCTCTACTCCTTGCCTGCCTAGCCAGCTCCATAAAAAGGATTGGGGCCTGTTGCCGAGCACAAGCCCCTGGGGTTGCCCAGCATGTCTGACTGCTTGATGGTATTGGGCTCTGCCAGAACACACTGGGTGGCCCGGGTGCTCGCGCCAGGCAGCAGGGTCCAATCCTGCATCATGTAGCTCTTCCATTTGCCATGTACTGCAAACCTCACAGAACACCCGATGTGTCCCACCAGAACCCAGCACCAGCAGCAGCCGGCAAGATGTGCCAGGAGGGCCAGGAATCTTGCATTAGGTGGCGGGGACTAATTCTGTCCTCTATAGAACGCACCTGCTTCTAATGCCTGGCACAAACTCCTAGAGTTGCCTGGCACATTTTGCCAGTTGTCACTGGAGATGGGCTTC